AGTTGCACCATAGTGTATCATGTTATACCAAGTTGTACCATGGTGTATCCTGTTATACCAAGTTGTACACTTGAAGGTTCACTGATGACTGGAAGGATGAAGACTCTCATTATTACACCATGACTAGAGGCACACAAAAGAAGCAGGCGCTGGAGAGACAAGTTTGTAAGTGGTATCTGCGGTGTAACGTGAGGATTATACACCTATCTCTCATTAGGAGCACACATCAAAACAAATGATGATATACTGCTGACCCCACAAAAAAACTTTCATTTGTTCCAGTATCTCCCGTCATTTGCAGTTCCTTATAAAGACCAAAACATTCACTGTCCCTTTGAAACAAGGGAAATGCCCAGATGCCTGTTTGCAGGAAGCTTTTTGACAGTCAGGCACATTTTTATGTTAGAATTATTGTGCCATTACAAAAATGTGAATGTCCCTTCCATCAAACTGCAAGGCCCAAAAAGTCCATCCCATCTCTGCCTCTCTCAGTCTGTGATAGCAGGGCTCAGTTACATGGAAAGCACTTTAGCACATTGGTAGTTCGGAATGAAACTGCCTGCAATTCATTCACATATATGAATTTGTTGTTAAAGATCTATATAGTGAGGCTGTTTAAGGTGCACATAATCTAGTAGCTCCTAAACCTGATTTGTTTCGAGGCTTACAGTGAAATACACAGGGCCAAGGCTTCCTGGCAATTATATACCATCAGTGAAATGCTGGCAAATCTACCACAGGGCCAAGGCTTCCTGGCAATCATATACCATCAGTGAAATGCTGGCAAATCTACCACAGGGTCAAGGCTTCCTGGCAATCATATACCATCAGCGAAATGCTGGCAAATCTACCACAGGGCCAAGGCTTCCTGGCAATCATATACCATCAGCGAAATGCTGGCAAATCTACCACATGGCCAAGGCTTCCTGGCAATCTACCACAGGGTCAAGGCTTTCTGGCAATCACATAACATCAGTGAAATGCTGGCAAATCTACCACAGGGTCAAGGCTTCCTGGCAATCATATACCATCAGCGAAATGCTGGCAAATCTACCACATGGCCAAGGCTTCCTGGCAATCTACCACAGGGTCAAGGCTTTCTGGCAATCACATAACATCAGTGAAATGCTGGCAAATCTACCACAGGGTCAAGGCTTCCTGGCAATCACATAACATCAGTGAAATGCTGGCAAATCTACCACAGGGCCAAGGCTTCCTGGCAATCACATAACATCAGTGAAATGCTGGCAAATCTACCACAGGGCCAACCAGGTTCATGCCTTCGACCTCAGAATAACAATGACAATCTCCTGTTGGTAGGCTGACAACTTACACACAGGCAAGTTGACTAATCTAAGTAGACCATTCTTCACACACAGGCAAGGAGATCAGTCTACACACAAGCAAGGAGATGTGTCTTCACACATAGACAGGTAAATCAGTCTACACACACAGGCAAGAGTATAAGGTTTACAAGCAGGATGACAACATCTGATCATTCTGCATTGTCAACAATAGTTATGACACAGCCAACTATGACAAGAAAAGAATATCCCCAGATGTCAACTATTTCAGCCTGCATCATGACACTACAGTTTCCTCACCATGACAATCATCTGTGTCAGTCCACTGGTCCGACCTCCCCAGACATCTCCCTCATGGCAACCATGGGTCAACGTGGACAATGTTATACAGACGGTATTCTACACACAACAACTTGCAGTGTACATTATGGATTGATTAATGGTTTTCGACATTGCAGTATACTATTTGCTCTCATTATCAGTTCAATAATTTACTGGTGACTTGATAATCTCAATTCATGCATGGCTGCCCAGATTGTGGAAACGTTGATCCCCCGTGTCCCATTCAAATCAGGATGCAAGGCATGCATCATCAGGAGGGATCTGGTGAAGGGCAGGTGAACAACTTGCTACTAAACACTCTCCCTGTACAAGTCCTAGGGGCCTCCTGTCAACCCTCCCTGTACAAGCCCTAGGGGTCTCCTGCTAACTCTCCCTGTACAAGTCCTAGGTGCCTCCTGTCAACCCTCCCTGTACAAGTCCTAGGGGCCTCCTGTCAACCCCCCCTGTACAAGTCCTAGGGGCCTCCTGTCAACCCTCCCTGTACAAGTCCTAGGGGCCTCCTGTCAACCCTCCCTGTACAAGTCCTAGGGGCCTCCTGTCAACCCTCCCTGTACAAGTCCTAGGGGCCTCCTGTCAACCCTCCCTGTACAAGCCCTAGGTGCCTCCTGTCAACCCTCCCTGTACAAGTCCTAGGGGCCTCCTGTTAACCCTTCTTCTACAAGTCCTAGGGGCCTCCTGTTAACCTTCCCTGTAAAGTCCTAGCCTTTTGTCAACCCTCAGTGTCATCCTACTCTGATGCAATCAAGTAGAAGCATCGTGTCAATTCATATGTTCTGCACAGCAATGATTAATTCTGGATTGTTCTTGTTTCTGACAGTAACATATTGTCATGTCTTGTGCATCAATGACCATATCTGGATTATTCCTGTGCACAAGATTGGCACAAAGGTGCATTATTTACTCTCAAAGCTGTTGCTTGTAGCTTCAGGGGATTATGAAAGGGCTCTGAAAGAGTATCACACAACAAAGCCTAATCTTTCATTTGCTCTTCTAATCAATCGTTATGGAAGATTTGATACAGGCTTAATCATATTGGCCTTTTTCAAACTGAACCAGTAACAATGATTTGAATCTGGATCATCCAGACTTATTTCCTTGTGACATCTGTCAGGAAGGACTACAGTTGGTGGTGGCTTGGCAGGGCTTGGTCAACATCATCCGCAGCACCGTTAAAGTGAAATGAGGAGTATTGCACTTCCAATGAAGTTCCATGTGTATATGTGTGTGTGGCAGCTGGCACTCTGCTAATCCTGGATTCACTGCACTGGGATACAATGCCAGAGTTTGACATGACTACACCACTCAGAGACAGTGTACTGACCACTGAGCAGACCTAGTTATCTCCCCTTATTACAAGTACCAAGCAGGGCAACAAAAAAGTACCATCTCATAGCGACTTTTGATATGCAATCTAACCTTGACCTTTTACTTTCTCTGGTCACTTTTTGGGTCATTGACTGAGTTATGCACTCACTTGTTTACATCTCAACTGGGTATCCTAATTTTCCTTTGAGTAACCAAATAAATTGTACCCATTTAAGCCATTTTCCATTAATTGTAAAAATGTAATAAAGTTTAAATGCCCCTTTACGTGTTTGTTATTTATATTTGATATGTTATAGAAGAAACACTGCAAGTTGCCAAGTTGAGGTGGTGAAATAGAACTTCTCAATATACCTCAGTTATTTTATCTATTTTTGTTTGTATGCATGTAAAATCAAACTTATTGAGTATTTACAAAACTTCAAGCGTACTTGTACGCAATAGACTTGATAAGAATTGAGTTTTCACATAAATATTTGCATAATTTACACAGATACGCAGCTTATCTGTACCTCTGGTCTTCTCTGTACCATAGGCTTGTGAACGATTATGGCAACAAGCTCAAAGAATCCTTTGCAATTTTCAAAAAATGGGATAAGAGTCATTGTTTGCCTTTTAGATAACAACAAAATCACTTAAGAAATTTTCTTGTGTGTGAATAGGTGTTTGACCATTTAGCATATGTTAAGAAGTTTATATTCAATACATCTCCTTTAAGACAACCTGTTAGAAGAATCCTTTGCTGTTGTCAACAATTTAACATAAACATACTCAATATAATCTTTGCTGTCAACATTTTAAGGCAACCTACTAAAAGAATCCTTCTCCACAGTCAACAATTTATGTAAACCTTCTCAATGAATCCTTTGCTGCTGTCACCAATGTCAGATAACCAACTCATGTTTTTACCTCTGTCAAGTTTACATGTCAGTCAAGTTTACATTATTATTATTACTTTATCGTGTTTTGTAGCTATGTCAGGTTTCCCTCTCTCTCCACTTTACACCTTTGTCGTGTTTTGTAGCTATGTCAGGTCTCCCTCTCTCCACTTTACACCTTTGTCATGTTTGTAGCTATGTCAGGTTTCCCTCTCTCTCCACTTTACACCTTTGTCTTATGTGAGTGGGATATTATAAATTACGGAAGTTTATGTAAATCCACTTAATGCCATACAATTCATCAGTGTTGTGACAGTTAACACCAGTTGATAGAGCCTGCATCTGGTCTCAATCCCAGGTCTACAGTCAAGCATAGCTGATATGCATAAAAGCTGATCTCTAGTTTCAGAACTTCAATTACTTAACAAGAAAAGGTAACATGTCCTGTCATAAAGAAGTGGTACAATAATAATCAAAGAATGTCTCTGAATAGCATCTTCCCACAGCAGCAGTGAGTGTGACATGTTACAACATTACAACAACATGTGTTAAGTATCCATAAGAAACAGTAGTGTTATAAAAGTGGTTCAAGATGCCTGCTTGAACAGTTCAATACAACAATGTTATTTATAACATATAGTTATTTGTTTCAGCAATGATGGCTCCCGATAGAAATATCTGTGAGTAGTACCATACATTCTGTTGATAATGTCCCACTATGTCTTGATACAGCACCAGGTCCTGTGGTGATGCGAGTAATAGTCCTACTTCACAGGTTTCTGCTATTACTACAGCACACGATTTTCGTTTCTCAAAACATTTTCAATGGCATGTTGAATCATGGTTGTTAACGAAATTCAGAGGGCTTCATAGCGATATGATCAGATCTGTTTCCACATATACCGTCTTTTCCTACACCAATCTTTTAAACTCAAATCTGGTCTGCATTGTACACGCACCCAAAGACTGGGACATTTCCTTTTGATATGTGCCCCAGCGCAGCGTTATAACGAGGTGTTTTCCCGATCACATCGAGACCAGCTGTTTAACATTACACCTGAAATCATCCTATGTGCGCGTCTAACTGCCAATTTAGGGTACATATATATACTAGTGAATTTATTCTTACACATGCAAGACTAATGCCACTTACCGGTTGTTTTCCATGTGAATCTGCATGTGAATCTTGACGGATGTCAAACGAAACTTTTCGTGGTGCTCGGTCGCCGTGATCACTTCCATCGAATCGTTCGGCATCTTTGATGTTAATGCTGCTGTAGAAACTGTATCCGAGAAACAGCTGAAGTCCTAACATGAGAATTGCAATGTAGAAGAAGAATTTGTACCTGGCACACAGCCTTCGCGAGGAGGCAATCCTGGAAGCGGCCATCACTCTGCGGAGCCGCTTCTCTAACTCCACGCCAGGAGAGCTTGCCACGGGAGATAACTTGTACTGTCTGCTAGCAGACGACGCATCGTTCATCGTTCAGCTGTGTGTGGAATCGATCGATGTTCAGCGTTCGCTTCAAGTGCCCACTCAATGAAGGCGCACGAAGACGCATGCTTGTAGTCCGCGTCACTTTTTATACAGGTACATAGTACAGCGCCGGCTAGAAATAGTGTGTGTCAGGCCCACGAATATGTCACGCTAGCTCCTGCTACTTAAGGAAATTGATCCAAGGTGAAATCTGAAGATAATTGCAGTTTGTAATAATGTCATAAAAGGGCGTACACTTAGGGGCAAATATCAACTAACAGTAGTGCGTGTATATTTGAAGAGATATAAAAACAGTGCTCTGTTATATTGCTTATTGATTCTGCCAAAACCCCATTTCTTTACACAAGATTATTTACCAACAATATCCATTTGGGCACCGGCGGGTATATTGCTTAACAACAATACTCAGTTGTGCAGCAGCAGGTAGACTGTTTCACAATACCCAGTTGTATACCACAGGTAGACTGTTTTACAATACCCAGTTGTGCAGCAGCAGATAGACTGTTTTACAATACCCAGTTGTGCAGTAGCAGGTAGACTGTTTTGCAATACCCTGTTGTGCAGCAATAGGTAGACTGTTTTACAATACCCAGTTGTATACCAGCAGCTGATAGACTGTTTTACAATACCCAGTTGTGCAGCAGCAGATAGACTGTTTCACAATACCCAGTTGTGCAGCAACAGGTAGACTGTTTTACAATACCCAGTTGTGCAGCAACAGGTAGACTGTTTTACAATACCCAGTTGTGCAGCAGCAGATAGACTGTTTTACAATACCCAGTTGTGCCACAGCAGGTAGACTGTTTTGCAATACCCAGTTGTGCAGCAGCAGGTAGACTGTTTCATAATACCCAGTTGTGCAGCAGCAGGTAGACTGTTTTACAATACCCAGTTGTGCAGCAGCAGATAGACTGTTTTACAATACCCAGTTGTGCAGCAGCAGGTAGACTGTTTCATAATACCTAGTTGTGCAGCAGCAGATAGACTGTTTTACAATACCCAGTTGTTCAGCAGCAGGTAGACTGTTTTACAATACCCAGTTGTGCAGCAGCAGGTAGACTGTTTCATAATATCCAGTTGTGCTGCAGCAGATAGACTGTTTCACAATACCCAGTTGTGCAGCAGCAGGTAGACTGTTTCATAATACCTAGTTGTGCAGCAGCAGATAGACTGTTTTACAATACCGAGTTGTTCAGCAGCAGGTAGACTGTTCTACAATACCCAGTTGTGCAGCAGCAGGTAGACTGTTTCATAATATCCAGTTGTGCTGCAGCAGGTAGACTGTTTCACAATACCCAGTTGTGCAGCAGCAGGTAGACTGTTTCATAATATCCAGTTGCATACTGGCAGGTAATCATGTACCCACCAGTATTGGTCTTCTCAACATCCCCCGATACCTATACCAAGCACCGGCGCTGCATGTAAGTGTCTTGATTCACCCAGTGGTTCAAGAGTTGGCGTACCATAACAAGCGACCAGGTTCGAACGCCTGTATTGGCAATGTCAGTGAAGTCCTTTGTTGGTGCCCCCACCGTGAATAAAATTGTGAATTTGCTGGAGCCGAGCATGTATTCAAGCACACCAATCGTTGTAAGGCCGGTATGCCCGTCAAGGAGGAGGCACGGCGCTACTTGCCTGCCGAAAGTTGCACAATGATAAGAAAGAATCAACGAATGTTTTTTCTTGAATAGATGCGTGTTGGAAATATCTCAAAGCTCCAATCTTCGCACACTGCTTATACACTAAACAATGCGAAATAACATCTATTCGAATATGTTTTGTGTGACAACAGATTTGCAATTTAAATGACACAATATAGTGGCTACTGCATCAAGTGCTGAAGCTATGTTTGGCATGTATATTAAATCTATCGAATTTCTTGAGTTGTTGGAAAGGTTTGCCGATGAATCATAGCTTTCCTAATATTTTGCGAAATATTGGGACGTGTATATGCAAATGTACATACTTTTATTAGGCTATCAGCGGCGAAGACCCCCAAGATGACGTAACTGCAAGTGAATGAGTGAATGTTGAGGCAGCTAGCAATATAACAGCACAGTGTCCTTTGAGTACTGGCCAGACAAACCAGTGGTTGATAAAATGACCAAAGATTACGTCGGGTAAGCGTACTATCAGGCTAAGCGATTTGAGGCAGCTACGACGAGGACGTCAAATAAGGGAGTTGGGACCGTTTCCGGAGCCTGAATTTCGTCTTCCACAAAAGCTTGCGCAGGTGTTTGCCTGTTTGTTTTGTGACTGAGAGAAACGGGTACATTAACACGCAGCTACCCGTACGGATTCGGGGAGGAATGTCTGTAATGGCACCTAACAGTACTGGTTGAGATCAACAACAACGACAAAAAAACCTCAAATTGCTGAAACGCAAGTGCAAATATCATGCATGTGAACAGCTGCGTTTGGGTGTTGAGTTTTGTTAAGAATTCGCCAATTTTCACTGAGTTTCACCATTTATAGAACTCATGACAATAATCTATTCAACGTTACGAATTTGTTTTACAAAACATCAGTTCATGTGTAAACAGTACCTTTAAAAAGTATGGAACATTTTGCAAAATCTAGTTTAGAACATGACTGAAGTAAGTGGCAACATTTACACTTGTGAGTCTAAACTTTGATGGGTAGTATTATGTTTAGTCATAAACCGAGCTCTACTGTCTTCGCAAAATTCCCAGTATTTGATCATGGATCCTAACTGGAAATGAGGAAGATGGTTGAAGTAGCATGCGGTAAATAATACTATCCCGTTTGACTGAGTCAAATGAAATTGTACAGAGACAAGTAAAATGTTAAATACTACCTCAAGAAGGGAGAGGCGACCAACAGATGGCTCAGATATGCCTTACAGTGAGCTTTTATTTCTCATCTCGTGTAAACTGAAGTAAAAGCTCACATCTCGCAGGCCGGAAACATGAACACAGGTCGGGGAAGTGTTCATCAGATGGACACGAACACATGTCAAAAACATATAGGTCGTATCAACATATATGACGTCTTATGCTTGCTCAGAACCAAGGGCAGAAGAGCAAGAAGAAAAGCAAGGAGCCAGTCCACAGTTGATATCGTTAGGCCTAGCAGGTCGCTAACCCCATAGCCATAATTCTAACTAAGCCGTGGCCAACGAGAAACAGAAATGTCATAGACATTCGATTATGGAAGAACATATTCACATTTGCATCAACATTGTATTTGGAGGGTACATCTACAAAGATTTGAGAAATAATCGTTTTTCTGAGATTTAAGAAGGTAAAGTGAAAATATATGAAATGTTTCCAGGCCTATCGGCCATTTCAGGGCATATAATTAATTCGTCTACTCGTGAAGGTCCGGGTTAGAATATTGATCTTCAGTAACCCATGCTTGTCTTAAGAGACGACTAACAGGATCGGGTGGTCAGGCTCGCTGACTTGGTTGATATATGTCATTGGTTCCCAATTGCGCAGATCGATGCTCATGCTGTTGATCACTGGATTGTCTGGTCCAGACTCGATTATTTACAGACCGCCGCCATATAGCTGGAATATTGCTGACTGCGGCGTAAAACTAAACTCGCTCACTCATTCGTCAGGAATTGTCAATGTTGGGCTAGCAATGCGGTACGGTATTGGGTCCGATATTTGTCGCGTTTTGACAAGTCACAATAAAAACACTTCTCAAAATATTAACGTTAGGGTTTTTTTAAGTATCGAGCATCCAGGTGTCTACTTTTTGTACGTCAGTTTACTTTTTGACACCATGACCAGTGGGCGACATCACATTGTTTGTCAATGATTTGTCAATTTCATTGAAGGGATCTGCCCCCGTTCGGCTCTTCTCTTGACGGCAGAGTGATTGTTACTGAAGTTGGGAGTGAGCCACGTGTCATGTTAATGTGGATCCCAGGAGGAAAAGAAACGTTTGTGTATATTCCCGACTTCGACAGTACCCCGTACACTACTGAAGAAGTTGATACAACATGTTTTCTCCGTAGTAGCAGAAGTTGGGAATCGTTCCTCCGCGTCATTGCGTTTTTCAGAACGGGATACCTCAGCAATTCTGTAATACACAAAGGACTGTGTATGATACTGCTGGAATGTTCATCACCAGGGTATATATATAGGGTATATATAGGGTATATATACCAGTCGTGGGGTCATGGGTGCTCACTAGAAGAGGGAAATATTTACCATATATCAAAGGAATACAAGCACTTCATCTTGAAGATCCAACAGATTTGTTAAGACCACAACAGGGTTATGAATCTATTTTCAGATTTAAAATTAGTGATGGATAAAACAAAGTAAGGACTAAAAGAGGTGTGTGTGCGTGCGTGCGCGCGCGTGTGTGTGTGTGTAAACTTCAGAGATTGTTCGGTATTGTGCTGTACACATCTACACTGACAACACTGGCTCAGTCATTACCATTGAACACTGCAGTAATAACTAATTCTCTGTGCGCTCTTACAATATCAGTTATCAGTGGAGATTGTCCGATAAGGAAGAAGCTGACATATATTTGTCTGCAATGTTATCTAGATGAGGCCGTGTTTAATATCGACAGATGCCGATCCATTCCAATGTAAACGTATACTTGATTTGCGCCAGCTGTTCACGTTTAATCAAACATCAAACAAACATATTTAATTTGTTAAGGTCTTATATAGCGGACCCCTTTTCTTACTTAAGGAGTAGTGTTAGATGACAACGTTGTATTAGTGTTAAGACTTCACGGTCGAGGCTGACAACACACAATACAATGCTATTGTGACCGTTCTGTTCAACACCACTTTGTGTTTACAGTCTTTAAGGGGCATTTACATACACATAAAAGGTGAACATTTACGGATGCCAACTTCTTTATTATGAGGAACACTTAGTTTGGAAGTATATTCATACTCCTTCATC